CCCCAAAACCCCAAAACCCCAAAACCCCAAAACACTAAAAATAATAATTTTAAAATTATCCAAAATGAGCCTAATCCCGAGCCCTGTTCAAAATCGTAAGTCAGAATTCCTTCTACGCTCTCTCCTCAATCCCTTCCTGTCTTCTCCCCTAACCTATCAGTTATAGCTAGAGAAACACAGGAAGAAGACCTTGACGATTACATTGAAGATTTTGAATCACTTGAAGAAGCCAAAGAGCCTACCAGAGCTAGCATCGCAGTAGAAAGAACCCAAGACCAAGATGAAGAAGAGAAGAAGGAGGAAGCTAAACATAGAAGCAGGATCTCGCTCAGAGCTAACCTCAGTGATAGGAGATATTCCTCTACAAGCGACGAGTTGGAAAATATCGGAAGGAATGCTAATAGGAGCAATAATCTCAATTCTAATAGACCGATGATGAGGCACCGGATTCGCGGAAACTCATCACCCAGAAGAAGCCCAAGGATTTCAGGTGGTAGAAGACCCCAAAGACTAGAGTATTCGAACCCCAGGTTTAGACCATCGCATAATATGAGAGCTGGATTGAATAATCCTTTCGATAGACATCTTGAGGAAAGGAAGTACCCGATCCCTTCCAATAATTATCGGGATCGGATGAGGTCTAACTTGGATAATATTCCTCTGGACAATTATCTCGACAGGAATAGTGCTTTTATTCAGATCCCAAATAGTAAGTCCCATTGGTAAAGTCTTTAGGAAATAGAAACCAGAGAATGTCTCCTCAAGAAATCGATGCTTATATGAGAAGAATGGAGGATGTTGAACAGGATTCTGAGCTAGCAATTTTCAACTGCAATATCTGCTTTAACAGGCAATGTATGGAATATCAAATCTGTAGACATTGATCTGGCCAAGCGTGCAAGACATGCTGGGATGGAATCATGCTAAGAAACAGTAGATGACCATTCTGCAGAACATTTGTATCGACATCTGATCTGATCAAGAACAGGTTTGCTGATGAAGTAAAGGAAATGCTTGCAAACCCTAGAAGAAAAAAAGAGAGTTCAACTTATCAGTGTCCTGTACACAAGAAGAAAGGCTCTCAGTTCTGTGAAACTTGCTCTTACTTCATCTGTATCGACTGCATAAAGGAGGGAACACATAACGGCCATGACCTTTGAGACATAGATGATAAGCCAGAATTGAAGGAGAAAATTGAGAAGATAGGAAAATTTCATAAAGAAGTTGAAGATACCTCCAAAATATTCAAAGATATTGATAAGGAGTTCACTGACTACTACAACATCAAGGTAGAAGATATGGATTGGATGGCAAAGAGACTCAAAACTAAGATCAATAATACAATTGACAGTGTATTCTCGAAGGAGAAGCAAGAGTTTGAACAAGCCCAAAATAAGTTCTCAGAATTTAAGAAGGATCTTGACAAATTAGGCCAGGCACAGACAGATGTATTCACTATTGACCATAGGAAGTCAGAAGTGGATACACTTCGTGAAAACTTCAAGAAAGCTCTGATTACAAGTGAGGCTGGTGAGATAGTAAACATCATTGCTAACCATGGTACTTCTAATTTCTAATAATATAGATACCCCTGTTCGCAAAAATGAGGTGACTGTCAAGTATGAGATGACTGAAATCCCTGCTACGAGAGGAGCCTATAAAGAGAAGTACTTGAAATCCCTCCTAAGTGAGATAAAAAAGATCAAAGAAATCTAACATCATTGTTCAATGAAAATGATATTATTAGGGGTTTTGGGGTTTTGGGGTTTTGGGGTTTTGGGG